ATACAATTTGAAAAACAGTAAAAACGAGCGAAAAAATTTTAAAAGTTTGAATTCGCGCGCTTTTACTCGCCGGGCGGCTTAGAAAAAACCTCGTCCCTAAGGGCTTTCAGCGTATTTTTCGATGCGTTTTTCTCGATGAAGAATTTTTTTAAAATTTTTCTTTATTTTTATGTCAATCTACATGCATTTCTGCACATTTTGATGCAATAAAAAATTTCACCGTACACCACCTTTAAGAAACTTAAAAATTCAACTTTATGCAAAACTATTATTAGGAAAAACTGAGATTACTATTTCATGGACCTAACTTCAGTCATCAATTCAAAAGCTCTACAATCTACTCCAGCTTAATCTTGCTATCAATTTTTTTAATCTCCAAATTTTTTTACGGTTTTAAACTGACTGTATTGAACGAAATAAGTTTCGTAAATTTGTTACTTTCCAGTGCCCCCAACAAAAAAATCAAGAATTTTGAGTCATGGACCATCACAGTTGAAAAAATTGAGATTTCTAAAAATAAAAGGCTGGCTCTAAAGTTTTCAATTCCCACCAGACCTAACACTTTTATATATATAATTTTTCGTTTATTCGAAGGATTTGAAGAAATAAGGAGTGATGGGAACCGGGGAAAGAAAATGATAAAAACGAAGGTAAGAAGGACTAACCCGCAAGAGTTAGTCCTAATCTAGGCCATAAATGTCCAAAGTGGGAAATAAGGAATTTTCAGTTTTGAGTTGAACATTTTCTAGATTATTCCCAAACTATGTTTTTTTTCCACATTTCAATCTTTATGAGAGCTTAATTTGGTTGTATATATATTCTGAACTCTCCAGATTGTAGAATTATCTAGATCAAGTAATTTCAAATTTTCAAAGGTTTGTTAAACTTTTTTTCTGTTTCTGATTTATGTTATAAATTTTTTATCTCAAGGTTTATTAATGGATACCAAATTTTACGAAGCTGCTCATATTTTCGACTTTCTCTCACATAAAACTGAAGCTCTATTTGAATTCTATTAAACTAGTCTAGAACGGAACTTTCAGAATTCAAAATGCTTTGAAAATCCGCTCAATATGTTATTTTTTTATTTTTTCATAGCGAGAAAAGTTCGCCGTGATAAAACCAAATTTCTGTTTCGAATGGACCATATATTCATGAAGTTAAGACAACTACTATCGGATACTTTTAAAGGTGAAGGGACATGAAAAAATAATGTTCTCGAAATTTCTTTTAAAGGTGGGGGGGGGGGGCAGGGGATTTTTCGTAGTTTTTTTGTAGCTAGAGTATGCATTCTACCGTCACGGTGTACAACGCTTAATGTCACTCTGCGTACAGCTGTCGTCCTCGCCTTCATGTATGCAATCGGGCGTGCGCTTTCTCTTTGCCCGCGTGGCTCAGTCGGTAGCGGCGCTGCACCCTCAATCATCGCCCTCACAAGTTCAACTCC